CTAAAATTTAGTGCAAACATTTTTACATTTTGTAAATTTCACTAAATTTTATCATCATTTTGTCTAGTACAAACAAGTACAGGTATTGCTTTCAGATTGAGATTTCAGTTTTGTAATTTTTTATTAACATTTATGTGGAGAGACTGTACAAAATAATTTTGTAGATGATGCCAAAAGTTGACAATGACATAGTGATTTTCAAGAATGAATGCTCTCAAATATTCAAAACAGTTTACAGTTTACCTATTCACCAATTACTTTATTTTTCAGTTTGGTTGTTGGAAACTTAGAAAGTATAGAAAATAATACTTTTGATCATATGACCAATTTACAAAAACTGTAAGTATATGACAAGTCAAATATTTTTGCTATTGTAGTTGCACTCTGAGGATGATTATGTTTATAGAATGTCTGATATGGCTTTCCGTAGTCAGAATAAAAGATGTAACATTCATGCAGTTGGTAGAGTACCAATTAATATTTGCTCTATTAGAATTAAGTTGTATCGACCACTAGCATTTCTGCAAGTGTGATCTTAGAAAATACCATCACAGATTGTTGCTCTAATATTATTATTAATAATTGTTGATTGTCATGGTAACAAACATGATTTGAATTTTAAAATTTGAATATTACCAATAGTAATAAGAACAAGTTAGTCTCAGAAATCTTTACATTTAGTTACCAAATACTGTGTTCTTTGGTTCTTTACAGGACAATTCATAATACTGGGCTTGTTGAGATACCGGATTTGTCATTATGTGTTCTCCTTGAGCAACTGTAAGTCTTTACTTAGTTTATTCCTGGTTGTATCACAAAAAGGTCCTAGAAGAAATGGCTGATAAGAGCCACAAGACTTGCATTTACCTTTTTAATAGTGTTCTATTTTATTCTGTTATTGTGCATAGGAAACCATAGTATTTGGAACAGTGGATGCAATGACAGTAGAGAAAGCGTCACTTTTTGAACAAGGCAAAAAGCGAATCTCTCACTCCCAACAAAATCTTTGTTGTTTTTGTCGTATTTGTATTGTTTAACAATAAATCTCCCTTGGTCAGCAGCAATCTCGCTTTAGTTCTGTATTCAGTGAAATTTTTTAGACACTTTTAAGTTAAGTTAAGCATGAACGATCCTTTTATAGTTACCAACTAAACATAAAAATTCACAGTGTTCTTATGTGTGCTTTACTCACCACTAATTTGTGGGTTTTTTTTTTTGTATTTAGAGATTTGACAAGAAATCAGATACAGTTTTACACAGCCAATTACACTCACTATACATGGCCCAACTCATTAAAGAAAGTGTAAGTATCAGAAAGAGATTATTCATTTTTTCATCTGATTACTTTTGTTGTATTGTTAATTTGTTATGTTCTGTCCATCTTTCACTGATACATGTAGCTGTGGTTTTGCGGCATTTTGGGTCCGGGAAGGTATTTTGCTTCGTCTGCCAATTATGTACACATTGTCGGTATATCCTTACGCCGCGGTGCAGCTCTATGAACAAAATGGTAAAAGTGGAGAGAGTGAACACAGGTCTATGAAAATGGCCAGAAAACAAAATAAATACTCTGATTTTGGCCAAACAAAATACCTCCAGGCAAAGATTACATACTAGTGATAAATTGACTGCGTCTTGGATTTGTTATGTATTCGTTTTTAGCTCCGCTGTCGACTTTGTCGAGCGGAGCTTATCATACATGAGTGATTGTCCGTCGTCGTCCGTGTCAATGTTTTACTTTTTCGACTTCTTCTTGAAAACTACAAGCCTGAATGCTTTGATACTTGGTGTATATGTACCTTGGGTAGACCTCTCTTAGGTTTGTTCATTTCATGTTGATATCTTCAATTCTCTTATTTTGGTGAATATTTTTGTCATTTTTGGTAAAAAGTGATATTTTCAACTTCTTGTTAAAAACCGCAAGTGCAATTGCTTTGATATTACATATATAGGTACTACATGTGGACCTCTCTCAGATTTGTTCATTTTGTAATGATATCTTTAATTCTCTAATTTTGGTGAATATTTTTGTCATTTTTGGTAAAAAGTGATATTTTCGACTTCTTGTTAAAAACCGCAAGTCCAATTGCTTTGATACTACATATATAGGTACTACATGTGGACCTCTCTCAGATTTGTTCATTTCGTGATGATATCTTCAATTCTCTAATTTTGGTGAATATTTTTGTAATTTTTGGTAAAAAGTGATATTTTCGACTTCTTGTTAAAAACCGCAAGTGCAAT